CCAGGAAAATTTACTACCCGACGAGATAAATTCCATGAACCACCGGGCTTTCTAAGTAACCGTACTTAGTAAACGAAAGCGCCAGGTGACTAATGCCGGTATGACGCGAAACGTATACGCGCGTCAGGGGACTAATGCCGGTATGACGCGAAACGTATACGCGCGCGCGGTTTTTGATTTTTCCGGCAGTGTTCCGGAAAGAGTCGAAGGACTTAACATAGATATTCTTAAAGCCAGGAAAATTTACTACCCGACGAGATAAATTCCAAGAACCACCAAGCTTTCTAAGTAACCGTACTTAGTAAGCGAAAGCGCCAGGTGACTAATGCCGGTATGACGCGAAACGTATACGCGCGCGCGGTTTTTGATTTTTCCGGCAGTGTTCCGGAAGGAGTCGAAGGACTTAACATAGATATTCGGAAAGCAAGGAATATTTACTACCCGACGAGATAAATTCCAAGATCCACCGGGCTTTCTAAGTAACCGTACTTAGTAAACGAAAGCGCCAGGTGACTAATGCCGGTATGACGCGAAACGTATACGCGCGCGCGGTTTTTGATTTTTCGCGTGTAGTGTGTGTGTGTTTGTGTCAGTACACTATAATAGATACAGGTATGCTACGCCGCCATTTTTCGACTAATAATCTTATGTGAATATGAATTTCCCCCCCCTTTATTTTATCATTGATAAATGAGTCGCAAAATGGTGGTATAGCATACCCATTGTATGTAGAGTCTTAGTGCAGTCATATGGAAAACGCTTTTATAACCTATCTACAAAACAAATAAAAATAAATAAAATTCTAAAATCAATTTTTAAAGTTTAATTTGATTCTGAATAAAATCTTACTAAAGCATTTCTACATATTACCTACACAAGTTCTAATGATCTTTCATTGTATTATTTCTAGTGGTCTAACAGCGTACTCATTTATACCTTTCCCCAGCCAGAGATGTAAAATTTTAAGTTTTCACTGACTTGTTGAAACTTTTCAAAAAAATTTAAACTTTTGATTTAATTTGTTTTGTATATTATTCAATACCTTTTTTTACACATCTAAATAATATTATTAAATTATTTATATGTGATTTATGTAATGCAACTAGTAGATGCTTTCCATCTTAAATGCATTTAAATGGTAATCATTGAATTCTAATAATAATTGTATTGAAGCAGTGTTTAATTATTTATTTTCCTAGTAATTTATAGATTTTCCAAAAGTGTAAATTTAAGATATAAATACCTTTCAAAATATTAAACATCCCAAATAGCAGGTTCATGAACATTAGCAATTTTAATTTTAGTAGTTCACAATTTTACCAAGACTATACCTACTCATGCTGTTGTATAACTGCTACTTTTTATTTTTCACGAAACTATACGAGCTATTCACATTAAAGTAAAGGACAACAATAGCAGGTACTACAATTTTTTTAACACATTTGGCGAGATATTTAATTTATATAAAACTTTATTCGTAGTATATAATATACGTACATCGATATCAAATTTATTTTTATTTTTGAACAGTTTATGTTTACACATTTATAATAGTACTTATAAAGTTATAAGTACTTATATGTACCCATGTAACACAGTCAAAGTGAATAATTTAAACTACTAATGTTACGATTTTTGTGTTTAATAAGAAAGGTTATTACTTATTACCTATTCAATAATATTTAATAATGCGCTTTTATACTTAAATAAAAGCTTATAATTTACTTCCACTCAATATACCTGATATAGGTAAATGAACAGAATCAACACGCAAAATCTATGAGTATCTTTTTATTTTCTAAAAAAATGCTATATATTACTTATACTGTTTTTGCTTTTCGAAAAATACTATATTTTTGCTTTCTGTCACTCATCGTTGTGTAGTCTACAATCCACCGTAGGTAGATTGCCTACCTGATATACTGTTATAGAGTATTACTCTATGTATACTGTTGCATACTGTCCACAATCCAATTCGTATTATCGTATTTTGAAAAATCGGAAAAAAATGCGTAGTTAATAGGCATTTAAGAATTTTAATGTATATTATGTATATTATATACATAGTTATTTGAAAAAGTGGCCTAACGGGAAAACTCCCGAATTCCCGGTGGTCCAATCCGCCCCGTGGACTTATATCCCTCGACTATTTTCGGGCCTTTTTTCGAGGGCATCGAGTACCTATGAGTTTCGTATTATAGTTGGTACCATAAATGCGCCGGTAATGCTAAAGTAATTTTACTCTTATTGTGGACTGTAGATTATAATAATAATTGAGCCACGATTTAACTTGATTTTTCATGATATTACGTTTACAATATTATGCGAGGTCTTGAGCAGTGTACACAATAATAACGAAGACCTCGAGACTACGACGACGACTAAAAAGTAAAAACTATTACTACAAATCATGACATTTTCACTGGTTGTTTATATTACCATATTTTGCTATACACAATAACATTTTAAAAATATTTTAACTCGGTTTTATAGGTCCACTTTTTTAGGTTTTTTCTCTATAGATGACAATGAAATTAGTTTCGTTGGGTCAAAAAGCTTTAAAATGCAATATGTAGTGCACAGCCCTGTCACTGCTGTGAACAAGGTTTCTTTTACGACGGTGCAGCTTCGTTGTTTACAACGTATGTTTGAAAGGAAAAGGTTGTTTTAAATAATATAACACAACACTTTGAATTTCGTTAAAGAATGGTATAATGATATTGATTAATAAAATAATAAAAGTTAAATTAGTTATTTGGTTAAAAGCACGGACACGACGACAATAAACACTCCGTAGGAGTCCGCGTGTCCGTAGTGAGTACTTACAGTGATAACTTAAGGCTAAATTACAGTGTATAAAACACCCATATTTATATGAACATTCAATGTCAAATATTGGGCTACGTGCTTTTGAATAAGGAAAAATAGTGCTACGTGATACATGATTAAGGAAAAAGTCGTTAAAGAATTGACCAATACTGTCAATACGTGTGCATTTTCGTTAGTAGGTAACAAGGTAACAAAATCCGAACACTTAGAATATCAATGAATACGTGTCACCTTCAGGTTTACTACAAATACAAGATTCCTCATAAGTTTGTCTACCTTAATCAAAAAAAAAAAATGTCTACAAGCAAATCAAATAAAATTTTTTGAGCGTTTGATGTTCAATTTTTTTGAACAAGATTGAATATTCACTAGATTTCTCATGTAGCGATTTTGTTATTTTGATGTAATTCAAAATCGAATAACTTAATGAATTATTGTCGTTCAGGCTTTTACATAATTTATTATTATATAAGAGAACAGGCCTTTTTTATGTTCCAATTTTTTTGTTAACAGAGTTGTTCCAAATACCTTCCTGAGTGTCAGCACGTCACCCGATTTTCTCATTTTATCGGTTTGGTAGGTACCGAAAATGGTTGAAAAATACTGAGTTCATTTTTAATTCAAATATTTTGTAGTTTTGTACAGGTCCATGTCCCCAGCACCCCCACCTCCAAATTTTGATTCAAAACCCATACCATTCGTTTGTACCTCGTTTGTACCTGTTTGTACCTCAAGTAAAATTGTTTGTACCTCAACGTTTTTCCAACTATCCCTACTTTGATTTTGGGGGTGCCGAGGAAATGCTGGCACCCCCACCTTTGAATTTCAAGACTAAACCTATACCAATCGTTTGTACCTCGTTTGTACCTGTTTGTACCTCAAAAAAAATTGTTTGTACCTCAACGTTTTTCCAACTATCCCTACTTTGATTTTGGGGGTGCCGAGGAAATGCTGGCACCCCCACCTTTGAATTTCAAGACTAAACCTATACCAATCGTTTGTACCTCGTTTGTACCTGTTTGTACCTCAAGTAAAATCGTTTGTACCTCAACGGTTTTCCAACTATCCCTACTTTGATTTTGGGGGTGCCGAGGAAACGCTGCACCCCCACCTTTGAATTTCGAGTTTAAACCTATACCAATCGTTTGTACCTCGTTTGTACCTGTTTGTACCTCAAGTAAAATCGTTTGTACCTCAACGATTTTCCAGTTATTCCAAATTTCCTAGGTGGGGGTGCCGAGGAAACGCTGCACCCCCACCTTTGAATTTCGAGTTTAAACCTATACCAATCGTTTGTACCTCGTTTGTACCTGTTTGTACCTCAAGTAAAATCGTTTGTACCTCAACGGGTTTCCAGTTATTCCAAATTACGAGGTTGGTGTTCAAAACTTTAAACTTGCATTTGTTTACCTTGTTCATTGAACCATTGACCGTGCCACGTGCGTGACTTGGTTCCTAACCAACGATATTCTTTTGCAACTAATTTTCAACAATACGTATTTATCTAAATTTTAGGTGTTTGTTATAAATAAATAGTTTAATATCATAAATACAAATAAATACATTCTTATATGAAGGGAATAAATATTTTTTCCTAGATTTGGCAGTGATTTAAATTTAACAGTTCAATGTTTCGAAACTTATTATTCTAATTGAACTATTAAATACCTAATACCTAACATCTAATACCTAGGTAGTCTATAATTTAAAAAAAATTATGGAAACACTTACTTAGGCAATATTTTCTATATCTTAGTTTTAACGTTTATTATTTACTTGGCGGTTTTTTATAATTCTAAGGAGTAATTAAATAGAGGCATATTCCATTCGTAGTTTCATCTTTCATGTTTTATTATTTTAAAATGTAACATATTATATGATACAGATCTGTGTATAAAAGAAAATAGTTAACATTTTTTAAAAATATATGGGCTTTCAAATTAACACAAAGGGTATATTTCCTTTGCTTTTCTTAAATAATTTAGCAACTAAAATATTATTAATTGAATGATGAAAATATAAAATTAACATAAACTCTTATTTTAAATTAAGTAATATTAATATGTATACTAGTACATTTTTGAATATTTCAATATTAATAAAAATGTAACATATTGGATTAAAAAAAACTAACATCAATTTAGAAAATCGTACAGCTCTATTTAAAGAATTTATATTGTATAGACTAATATTTGGCAGTTGTTAGCGATAGTAGTTGGTCTAACAATTCTTGGTGAAGTGGAAAGGTCGTCATACTTCTCCCATTTATTGGTTGCATCTCTCCAACAATATGTGATATAATGACCAACAGCTTGGTGTTTTTTCGAAGCGGGTGGAATAAAAATAATCATTCCTCGAAGATTATAAAGTTTTTGTTGAACAGTTATAGTTTTAGGAATCTCGTGTAACATTATAGATATATCTAAGTCCTTATTCGTGTTTTGTCCCGCAGTATGTGTTACATATGGTTCAATAAATATTTGTTTTCCATAATCATTTACCTGTTCAATAATGCCAATTTCGCAATTTTGACATGTCTTATGATTTTGTAAAAACATCGATGACAACGCATCATTTAGAAAATCTAAGTTTTCCGTTGGTAATTTAACCAAAATTGTCACGAGTTTTCTTTTTTTAGTAAAAGAACAGTTAAGGCATTTCCTTACAGTCACTAATGAAAAATAATTTGAAAATAAATTGCGAGTCATAAATGCCATTGTGCATGAACAGTCAAAGTTTCTAAGACCACCTGGATATTCAGTCCAGGTTCGCAAAGTGCACATTATTTTACTTAAAATAACAACTCTTTTCCGATATGTTTGAGCATTAATTCCATCCCTCGATGCACTCGAAACTAACTCGAAGAAATCGTGAGATATTTCTTGATCAATATATGTAGAATATTGCGTACTGTCCACATACGAAGAGCATATAAGATGTACTAAACTATCAAAAGCACAGGTATTGGTCACAGTATAGCTAAATCCTTCAATGTTTACTGGCTTAAGATCAGAAATATTACCATTCTTTAAGATACCTAATATTACACTTTTTGTTTTGCTACGATCGTTGTAGAACAACACAGTTGGGTCTTTTTCAAGGTAATTGCTTTTCTTATTACTCTTAGTTTTTTTTTCTGATTTACCAACAGTTTCATTTACAATATAATGGTTTTCAATGTCTGTAATTAGGTTATTTGGTACATTATTTAAATCATTGGTGACCAAACACGAAACATTTTTGGTTGTAATTGGTTTTCCGAGTCCTCTCCAATCTTCAAACGAATCATTTTTTTCGATTTCTAAACTGAATTCGTTTGCATTTTCATCATTTTTCTCAGGTTCTAAATTGAATTCATTTACATTGTCATCATTTGTCTTAGCTTCTAAATAGAATTCATTTGCATTGTCATCATTTTCCTCAATGTTATGTGCAAACCAATCATAAGTATTCATATTAATACAACTATTATAACTTTGTTCATTTTCAACTTCTTCATCTTTTTTATCCATTAAATAATTATCATACTGAATTTCAGATTTTGATGCACCAAGTGTACTTCCGATTATGTTCATAGAACCGATGATTGAATTAACGTGAATTTTTAAAAATTGATCAATGCGTAAAGGAAAACTTTTATGTTTGAAAACGTTGGTTTTTAAATCATTGAACAAACTCTCCGAAGTTGAGCTGGTTTCAGTTATGTTTCCATACTTAAATATAGGAACCATTAGAGCAGACCACGTCGGAATTAATTTACAGAAGTTTAGTAATTTTTTCGCGATAATCGGATTAAACTGCATGTTGTCATGGTCCCCTTCATCATCATGTTCTGCTTCATATTTTACATTTTCAAAAATCAATTTGAATTCCAAAAATATTGAAGTGTTGGGAGTTTCTGCAATAATATCTGTATAATCTTCACTTGGTTCCTTATCATCATCTTCTCTTGGATTTAAAAATTCATCATTCAACTCTACTATGTGCGTAGCTATCCTTTGTTTGAGATACATTTTAGATATTTCACATTTTGTGGGTTGTTTATATGAGTTTGATCCATCAGTTTCATACAAACAAACAGTGAAAATATGCCTCAATAACAATTTAATGTCCGTATAGTCGGTACTGGCAATTATTAACCCAATAGATCGCAAGTAAAAATTTTTTATTCTGTGAGTAGAATTCTTTATTTCCGGCCATGAGCTTAACAAGTGCATGACATGATTGAAATCATTTCGTATCATGGCCGATGGAATTTCTACTCCAGGTTCATTTAAAACCAACGAAGAGCAAACACTTATATATTTTGTAAAATATGCATATTGGGTAAATGATTTCGTTACTGCCATCATTAATGCCAAAGACTGGTCTGTTATAATTATTTTTGGGGAAGGAATTTTACTCCTCAACCATTCAGATAGCCAGTACGAAATTGTGTTGTGGTCATGTTTCTCCGACAACATGTGTCCTACTGCAAATTGGGAAGAAGTTTTTGGATCTCTTACACCAATTTGGTATAAAAATATGTTTGCCGTTTGTCTCCCAGATATCAATTTTGGCCTTCTCACTAAACCTCCTGTAGCATCGATTGATACTCTGGGGACGTCTGTATTTTTTGCGTAAAGACGATAGGAGTTAATTTCTGTGGAGGCCCAATAATGTACATAGAATTTATCATATGATATATCTCTAATTATATTGTTATATGGTGAAGAGCCTTGACAGTGCGATAACTGGGTCAGAATTAATTTGTTCATCCTTCAATGCCTTATGCTTAAGAATTCGAAGGGCATTCGTAGATGGCAAGTGACTGGGTTCTTTATCTCCGTATTCCATTAAACCCATTGCTTCGACACGTTGTACATAAGCAGCGGATTGATTTTCGTTTATTAATTTTTTTTTTAATTGTTCCCGTTTGTTTCCAATTAATTTTCTTTTATTAGAACTTTTGCAATGTCTAAAACCACCTTCATAAGTACAATCTATGGTTACAATATCAGTACATAGTGGTTGATCAATGAGTACTCCTTGGAAGTTACTTAAGCATACAGTGCATTTTCCATATATTTTAAGGAAAATCTCACCATTTGGACACACTTTGGCATTCTTATAACTTATGGAACATGGAAGTTTAGTCAAAGCATAAAAATAGTTATGTATCACCGGAGACCATTCGTAAGGTTTCAGAGTTTGATATTCACGATTCGTGCTTTTCCCATCTGACCTTTTATAAACTCGAGAGTTAACAGAATCATAAATTGACTCCCATTGATCTTTAGGTAGTGCCATTTTGAAATTTAATTTTGATTCTTTGTTTAAGTCATCATTGTGTCTAGAGGATTCTTCAGAAATTATTTCTTCACTACTATCTTGTCGATAAGTTTGTTTGTATACATCGAGAGTGGGTTTTAATTTTGTCAAAATATTGTGTCTATTTTCTTTAACAATTAAATACAAGTACTTGGATGAAATATTGAAATTTAATTGATTAATTATATCCTTCCAGCATGTATCAGTAGGACTTTTCAACAACTTTGTTCCCTTATCAAATATATCAGATTTTCTCTCTGACAAAACTTTAAGGATTTGATCGAAGTCAATTTTCGAGGTAGGCGGCATATTGAAATGTTGATACTTAGTCCCCTAGGGTTAATAAATAAAAAAATATGATATATACAATACTTAAAATTGGATCGGAAAAGTAGAATAAAATTGAAATTGAAAAAAATATTCAGATTTTTTTTTTTTGTTAACCTTAACCGATTGGCTTAAAACTTTTTGCAGTTTATTTTTATATATAATATACGCACTCATATATAGGGGAGAGACTAAACATATTTCGAATTTAAAAATTAAGGAACACCCTAATAGAAAATGCTAATATATACATTGTATATATTAGCATTTTCTATACACCATCACTTTTTGAAAATATTTTGATTAGTTTTTTCGGACAATTTCAAATATCAATTTTTTAGTTTTTTTTCCTAATTGTTGGCCCGTTAAGCATAAACAATTAATATAAGGCTTCTGGTATAATATTGTTACAATAGAAGTATTTTACAATATAAAGTGTTCAAATTTTATAGCTAAGGCGCACAGTATATTTTTCACAAGGGTGTCGAAAATATATATTTCAAGGTACCCACCCACCCCCACCAGTAAAATCTGAGTTTAGGCATAGTATAACTCTTATTTTTAAGTATTTTTGGTTTTTTCTTACTAACAAAGATACTAAAAATAAAATTATGTATACAAATATGCATCGTAGTTCACAGTTCACACAGCACTAGTCAGTGACTATTAGTTGGCAACTAATCTCTGAAGTGTTTCAGTCGACATCCCTGACCCTCCCTGTGTGCGCCACTGAGCTAAGCATTAAAAAATTTAAAACAATGTTCAACAAATGTAGGTTATTTGTAACTAAAAAAATCCATAAATATAAAAACACAGTTTTTTTATAGTTATTTTATGTTCAAATTTGAACGAAATAACATATTAAATAACTAAGAATAATAATTTTAGTTATTTTGATGTAATTTTATAATATTAATTCATCTTACCGGCTACCGTAATAGTAAGTAATAACAATATAAATAAAATATAAAATATACACACTGAAAAGTCGCCTTAGCTCAGAATCGTTTTTCGTATACAATGGTATTATATCATTGGATTCAAATTTAATACCATATATTAACCAGTAACCCGCTTGTAACCTACTGTACAGAAGAGCGACATCCACTTACCCACCTTTTTTAGTTTTTTTTCTATAATAAATATCGATAAACAAATGTTTACTGATTCGAAAAGTTTAAAAATGTTTTACAAGGTCTCTCGTAAGTTGTTAAAATAATAGTTTAGAAATAAATGAGATACATAGAAAGAATTTATTTGTAACTATTTGGAATTAGTTAATTTTTACTAAATTCATCAGTCATGAACATTAGCAAATTATTTCGTACGTAAAACCTTCGACCATATAAACTAATAGACGCGGCATACGGTAAATATCTTGATGCCAACATCATGTATTGTAATGGGTGACGTCACGTTTGGGCAATAACACCAGCCGGACTGTAAATAATATTTATCCCAAATTCCCAATAAATCATTGACTTTTGAATTTTTATTCCTATTCCTATTTCCTTACTATAGTCTATAATATAATCTATCTATCTCGGTTTTCTTCTATCGTATGGATTATTTCTTTATTTACTATGATATATTTATAATTAATATATTATTATCTAACATGAATTCTAGATTTAAGGACTCAGATTTATATATAGGACTTAAAATTATGAAATAGTACAATTATATTTATGTCATATTAAGATCTAAATAATATGATCTTAGTAAGATATCTAAATTTATTTAAAAAACTATTAAATGTTGAAAATATCCATACATATGTTCTAATGCTTATTGCTTAGGTAGGTATAAAGGAATTTATATTTTTAATTAAACGTCCATGGAATATACTTTGTGCCTACACTTAAATTATAGTTTAATAAATCAGTACAAATTAAAATGCATACAACTTATAGGCGCGTCTATTAGTTTATAATTCGATGGCTAAGAGGGCAAAAGTTGTATGTCACAAACTCTAAATTTTACGGGAGAGCAGTTTTTAGATTTTAAACTATTCCACATCAAATTATTTCTGTTGTAGATTTTTGTTTTTCGATGTTGCAACTGATTTATTTGTGAAATATTCTGTAGATTACATAAATTATTACTTTTAAGTCTTAAATAATTTTTTTAATGTAAAAATAATGTTTCTTTTAAACTTAAATGGAACTTGTTATAAATGGCAATTATAATATATTTTTATCATGGACATACAATGTTTTGATGGATATATTAAAAACTGTTAATTTAATAAAAACTCTTATTAATTAATAATATAAATAGTTAAAATGTAGTTAAAACTATTTTTTTTGATATAGGTACTAAATTCAATATATATATATATATATATATATATATACAGGCAGGGGCGTACTCAGGAATTTTCAATGGGGGGGGGGGGGGGGGGGGGGGGGTTGAACATTTTGTTTTTTATCACGGGGACTTTGTCACCTCCTTTTTAAAAATATTAAATATAAACATGGTAATGTACTCTACAGAAAATAAATTTCAAAAATGAAAAATGTTTATTTAAAGAACAATATTCCGATTCCGATTGATTAACGTGTTCATGTTTTCTTTTAAGATTATTGTAGGGTTCAATGTACTTAGAACTTCCAGGCACACTAGTAAAATATGTTATTATTTTATTTTTATTTTTATTTTTTGACTTTAAGCGTTTATGGAAAAAGAATAAATACTTAAATTTTAATACTATCATTAATATTTTTCAAAAGTATATTAAATTACTATACATTTTAATAATTAATCTGTGTGAAATAGTACAAGTAATTTTAGTATATACCTAATTTAGAAAAAACAATTAATAATTTTGATCAAAGGGGACTTGACAGTTTTACATTAAATTTAGGGAGCCTCACGACCAAAAAAATTGAGAAATACTGTACTAGATTATAGTGTAAAATATCTAAATATAATAAATATAACTAGCTGTCCCGGTAAAAGATCATGTTTTTAATGTTGCATTTCAATTTGAAAACTACATATACATTTTTCACTGTTTATTTTTCTAACATAATTTATATTTATTGAAGAAATATACAAACAAATTTTTTGACAAAGGTTGGTTGCTCAATACACAGTCAAATATTAACCAAATATATCATAACGCATTATGTCAAAACAAGAATGATATTCACTTACAAAAGAAAAAAATGAGCAAGGTGCTAAAAACAAGAAAACACCAAAAAAACTAAACAATTTTTCAAAATTAGTTTGAAGTTTATAAGATAACTATTATTGAATAATATTATAATATAAATAATATACCTAATCATAAAATAAAATATGCAAAATATTTTAAACATGTTTTTAGTTTTTTATGAGCACTAGAAAATAATACTCCACTCTACCAGACTACTATTAGAATTAGGAGTAGAATCATAATAGTTTTAATTTAATTTAAAGATTTTAAGAAGGATGCAAATATCCAAAGAAGTGAATAAATTATACATAATATTTTTTTCTAATTGATGTCTACTCGATAAAAATATTGCCAATGAATAAAATGCAAATGTATGGCTCCAAATTTATTATACCAACTCAATTAAAAAAAAAAACTTTTTATGATTCAATGTTTTTGTAAATACTGACTTCAATTTTAAAAAATATTAGCATTTTAATTCTGAAGTTTTAAGACATTTTGCATTTAACAGAATGAATATACAGGCCTTCGTAGGACAAGAAGCGCGCTCTGGTGACTATAGAACTGTGGTAATATTTTCAATCAAGAGTGTATACGTATAGGGAATCCAGAGTGACGACAACTTATCAATACACCTTGTATGTTTGATTTAAATTTTATCTGGTTATCATAATACAGTTCTTAACAGATAATGCTTGTAATCGTTGTATAATGCATGTTGATATAAAATTGAAAATAAATATATTTGTTTATTTTTTCCCTTCTTAAAAATTTTTTTTTAGAAAATTGCTCCTGTGAATTTTATTATGAATAAACAAGAACGCACAAAAGTGCATCGGTTAGTAAGGTCATGGGAGGGGTTCAAACCCCACGAGCCCCCCCCCCCTTGAGTACGCCCCTGTATATAGGGTGTGTCTTATGTCATTGTACAACTTTTTTTTTTCAAATGGTAACCACTATATTTTTTAATGGATTCTGGTAAAGCTTTTTTTTCTGAACATTTTGGTAGTCGAATCGTCAATTTTGGTTCCCTAGTTTATGGTCCTCCAAAGATTAGTAAAATATGCATTAATACTTTTAATTAAAATAATGGGTATAGGTTTAATTTACAAGCGCTAAACATTTTTTTCTTATAACTACCATTTGATACAATACAATAGTTGAATCGGTAATCTAATGACACCCTCAAAAAAAAAAAAAAAAAATAACAAACATAATTGTTTGTAAACATACTTCATTATTTTTATTTTAACATACGATCATATAAATCAATATTATTATTTTAATATCCAAAACTAAAAAGGATGGAAAGGGATGAATTACAACTCCTAAGTTCATACTTTGGATGCGATACCAATATAGGGAATCTACGGTTAAAATATCAAGTTTATACTTTATACCACTACGAAAAGAGCACCACAAAACATTGCACTTTTTTCGTTGCACATTTTAATGTCAACAATCGAATACCATTTACCAATTTACCATTATTACCTTAGCCACCTACCTAATTAAGAATTCAAATTTATGATATTGTAAGAAAAGTAACTGTGATGAAAAAAATGTAAAGTAATTAATTACGATTATAATAATAAATTAAAATAATAATATTGATTTATATGATCGTATGTTAAAATAAAAAAATGAAGTATGTTTACAAACAATTATGTTTGTTAATTTTTTTTTTTGTTTGAGGGTGTCATTATATTACCGATTCAACTATTGTAGTGTATCAAATGGTAGTTATAAGAAAAAATTGTTTAGCGCTTGTAAATTAAACCTATACCCATTATTTTAATTAAAAGTATTAATGCATATTTTA